CTTCAAGAGTTCAAACCCAAGTTCCACCAAAAGAAAATAATCTCATAATTTGTAAGGGTTCTATATAGACTTAAAAATAATTCTGTTTCATTTGTCTTCCTTCCTTCCTTCCTTCCTTCTTTCCTTCCTTCCTTCCTTCCTTCCTTCCTTCCTTCCTTCCTTCCTTCCTTCCTTCCTTCTTGCCTGCCTGTCTTCCTTCCTTCCTTCCTTCCTCCCTTCCTCCCTCCCTCTACCCCCTCTCTCTTTCTGTTTCTTTAACTTGTTTCCTCTTGGTACTGGAGACTAAACCCAGCCTTTCTGTTTTCATCTTGTTTCAAAAAGTGCCAGACTGGTCTTAAACTCAAGATCGTCCTGTCTCTGCCTCCTAAGTAGCTGGGATTACAGGCATGCACCAATAGGTTCAGCTGTAGTATTTTGTGTATATGATAACACAATATGTTATGTTGGTTAATAGATTGCTTCAGTTATTTGGAATCTTCTTTGCTCTCATATGGACTTTATTTTTAACAACTCTGTGAATAATATCATTGTTATTTTTATAAAGATTTCATTGATCAATTGATTATATTTTGTTTTGTTTTTTTTTGTTGATTGTGGGGCTTGAACTCTGGGCCAGGGAGCTGTCCCTCAGCTTTTCAGCACAAGGCAAACACTCTACCACTTGAGCCACAGAGCCACTTCCAGCTTTTTCTGTTTATGTGGTATTGAGGAATTGAACGCAGGGCCTCATGCATGCCAGGCAAGACTACCACTGTAGTGCAGACATACCAATATGAATTCTTCCAAACAATGATTATCTAACATCCATGTTTTTTCACTTCTTCGATTTATTTAATCATCACTATTCACTTTTCATTGTAAAGATCATTCATCTTCTTTGTTAAGCTTTTTCTTAGGTGTTTTTGTAGCTGTTACGTTGGTAATTGTTTTTATGATTTATTTTTCAGAAAGTTTGTTATGAGCATACAAAATGTTACTGAATTTTATGTTTTTATTTGTATCCTAATTCTATATAGAACTAATTTATCACTTGTGATAGCCATTTGATATTGAGTAGATTTTTGATCATATAAGATCATATTATCTGCAAACAGATAATTTGAATATTTTTTTCCTGTTTATATGTCTGTTATTAGATTGTAGAGTACAAATAATCACAAACTATAAATAGTTTAGAAACTCATTAACAGAGATGCCTAAAAACTTTATGAAAAATTTAAACTAATCATCTATATTAAAGAAGATGGGGATAAAATGAAAAATATATCATGTTCATCGATGAAATAGTTTTGTTTATGTACATGATTTATTTCCCAAATAATCTATAAATTCGGTGCAAGTGAAATTGTTAAGATGGCATGAACTTCATCTTTTTTTAGAAAATGACAAATGAGTTCTAAAGTTAATATGGCAGAATGAAATCACAAGTGACTAAAACAGACAGCAAAGGCCTGGTATACATTATCATATCTACAAGATCATAATAGTAAAAATAGTATAGTATTTTACTTCAAACAGATAAATATGCAAGAGTAATATAGTAGAGAACTCAGCAGCAGAGAGTGTATATTAAAAAGAATATGTAACTAGGTACTGGTGCCTCATGCTTGTAATGCTAGCTACTCAAGAAGAGGAGATCTGTGGATCACAGTTCTTCGAAGCAAGCCTGGGTTGACAAATTTGTGAGACAGTCTGAGTTCAAGCCCAGGACCAGAACAAAAGAAAAAGAAAAAAGACAAGTCTGTTATATGATAAAATAAGTAGCAAAAAGTAATCATTCAGTATAAGTGATGGCAAACTTGTTCCCTAAGTATAAAATGAGGTAGAATCTCTTTATTTTTGTATTTTGATTTTGTATTGTAGTGATAAAATCATAAAGTGACAAAGGTTCAAGGTAGTTTCCAAGTTTGCAAATGTTTTACATAAAGCAATTCAGTTCCAGGTTAGAAATGAATGAAATATATTTGTAATAGGAAAGTGGAAAATGTGTGTTAACCAAAATTTCAATAAGGTAAATACAGTGCAAACCTATGAGTTAGATTATATCAAATCCAGGATTTCTTTTCTATGAAGAAACCTGTAGACAACATAATATATAAGTAATAGATACCCAAATTAAAGAAGTTAATACTTTGAATGAATAAGTAATTTGGGGAAAATATACAGAAAAATTGCAGGAAGCATAATAGAAATGAAAATAGCACTTCACATATACACATAGACACACTCATAACAAATAGCTAAAAAAATACAGGAAGAAATGCTGTTGCACTTGAAATTTGTACTAAAATTATATATGTATAATTTTTATACTTATGTATATATGTACATACATGTCTCTGTGTGTGTGTGTGTGTGTGTGTGTGTGTGTGTGTAGGTCTGTATGGCTAATTTTTGGAAACTAGCAAATAATGTCAGACTTTTTTATTACATACCAGTTAACAAACCACCATAAAAATTATATAAAATAATAAAAAAGTCTATTTTCTGCATGAATGCACAAGTTGGGCACACTTCTCTCAGCTGTACTTAGAATTAACTAGAGTGATCAATGTCTGTGGAATGGGATCATCTCTCCCTCTTTGCTCAAATATTAGTTTTAAAAACTTGCTCTTTGCTAGATCACTTATGCATAACCTTTCTATCTGGCCTGGACTATCTCATAACATGGTGACTAAGTTCAAAGAAAGAGTCTTGAGACAATGAGATCCAAGTGGAAGCCATATTATCATTTTATGACCCAACCTGCATGAGCAATCATAAGATTTCCTCAAGTTCAAGGAATCTTAATAATGCAACAGTATAACTCAGGAAGTACTTGCAGAAGCTTAAATAGTGCTCTGTTGGATTTTAGGAAGCAGAAGCTGAAACATGAAGAAAATGAAAGTCCTATATTGAAAAATATATTCTAGAGAAAAATCTAGAGAAATGATTAAATTCATTATTATCCCTCCTAGTAATTCTATCCTAGATATATACTTCCAAAGAATCATGGGACATTAATAGTACAGGGATCTCTCTCTTCTCTCTCTCCTCTCTCTCCTCCTCTCCTCTCTCTCTGTCTCTGTCTCTTCCTCCCTCCTTCCCTGCCCCTCCCCCTCTCTTTTCTCTCTCCTCTTTCACCTCTTTCAGTGGTATTGGACAATGAACTAAGGGTCTTGTGATTGCTAGGCAGATACTCTATCTCTTGAACCATGCTGCAAGACCTTTTAACCTTTGTTATTGTTCAAGTAGGCTCCTGCTCATGTTAGTGGACTGACTGCTATCACATACTTATGCTTCCCATATAGCTAGGATGACAGGTCTGTGCCATTATGTACAACTTTTGACTGAGGGTGTGGATGTCTCATGTTTATGTTCAAGACGGCCTTGAACTTCCATGCTTCCAGACTCTTTCTCCTGAGTAGATGAGAATACAGGTGTGAACTACTGGTCCTCAACTACTCAAGGACTTTAAATCCAGACATCTTTGTTTCAGTAAGGTGTAGGTTGTAACAAAATCACCTATTGGAATGGGTAAATACAGTGAAATCCTGCTATGCACAATTAAATAGATAGCTGAATTAGATAAATATGCAAAATATGATTATATCTCACAAAGCACAAGATTTTTCTCAAAGCTTTTCAACAAACTTCCAGGCACACAAATAAAAATTGTAGGAGATATAAAGACCAAATTAAGCATAAGTGGTCAAAGCCTCCAATCTTTGGGGCTGGGAATGTGGCTCAGTAGTAGAGCATTTGCCTTGCATGCATGAGGCCCTGGGTTCGATTCCTCAGCACCACATAAGCAGAAAAAATCTGGAAGTGGCGCTGTGGCTCAAGTGGTAGAGCACCAGCCTTGAGTTGAAGAGCTGAGGGACAGCGCCCAGGCCCAGAGTTCAGGCCTACGACCGGACCCAAAAAAAAACAAAACAAAACAACAACAGCAACAACAAAAAACTCCAATCTTTTATGGAATGTGTATATTGGTGAATCATATATTTTGGGTTACATATGTATGTATGTATACATAGTTTGGGATAACATGTACATACTATATATATATATAATTTTTAGATAAAGCATGGCACAGTTTTATAGATTGATAATTAACATATGACTAAATGCATCTGGTCTTGACTTAACATAATAAAATATATGACAAAAATTATTTCTGTTTTAGGGTCTGATGAAGAATCCACTGTTCATGTGCCAAACTCTGTGCAAATCTATAGAAGCCATAATTATTATTGGAGCTTCCAAGTTTTTGCCTGTATATATAGAAAATCAATTTATATTAACACCCAGGATGGCAACTCTGCTTACAGGTAGACTTCTCATAGATTTTTTTTAAAGAGTTTGTATTAAGTCCTTATAGAGAGATAGAGAGAGCAGATTATATATATATACATATGTCTCTCTCTCTCTATATATATAAGAAAAAATATACTTCAACTCTTTTTGCTGAAATTTGAACAAGTATGAACAGCCGTATTTTTATATGTTAAATATTGTAAGGTATCTACATTTTTCTTCTTCCCACTCCTTATTTAATCACTTTTTGAAATTACCATGAAGTCTCCTTACAGATTGGAACAGTTTTCTCTTGTTTATTTATTGAACTCTGGGTCTCACAACCTCCCACCATTCTCTGCTTGTTTCTCTGTACTTTCTCTTTAAGTATGTCTAGCATTCATGTATCATTTAATATAAACTTTTCCTTGCTACCTTTATTTATTTATTTATTTATTTATTTATTTATTTATTTATATTTTTTATTATGAGAATACCATACAGAGGAATTACAATTACATGGGCAAGATAATGAGTACATTTTTATCAAGTATTGTTGCCTCCTCTTTGTTTCCCCTTCCCATCCCTTCCCATACTCCCCCCCCGATTCGCCCCCCACTCCCCACCAAAGCTGTAAAATTCATTTTTCGACATAACGACTTGTACATCTCATTGTTGCAATGGGTTCACCTGTATCCCTAGTTAAACAATTTATTTTTGCCCTTCCCCTCCACAAATTATACCAACATCAAATACAATGAAAGCATGGGTTATACTGTGGGTGAGGGACATACAAAGCAACATAGAAATCATCTTATAAATATGTTAGAAACAATTGCATGAAAGGAAAAAAAACAAAAAAAACATTTAAATACTTATCTTGGGGTTCATTCCTTTAACATCAACTTATCTGACCTTTTCTGCTTGACTCAGACATATACTAGTTATTGCAAATAAGAGAAACCATGGGACCTATGTTTCTTTGGGCCTGGCTTACTTCACTTAATATAATTTTTTCCCAAGACTTTCCATTTCCTAACAAATGGGGCAATGTCATTCTTTCTGATGGAGGCATAGAATTCCATTGTGTATATATACCACATTTTCTTGATCCATTCATCTACTGAGGGGCATCTGGGTTGGTTCCATATCTTAGCTATGATAAATAATGCTGCAATAAACTGTAGTCGTGCTGATAGCTTTAGTGTGGTCTTGTTTGTAAACATTTGGGTAAATGCATAAAAGTGGGATAGCTGGGTATAGGGGAGTTCTATGTGGAGTCTTTTGAGGAACCTCTTTATTGCTTTCCAAACTGGTTGAACCAGTTTACACTCCCACCAATAATGCAGTAAGGTTCCCTTCTGTCCATATCCCCTCCAGCATCTGTTGTTATTAGAGTTTTTGATTATAGCCTTTCTAACTGAGGTGAGGTGGTATCTCAATGTTGTTTTGATTTGCATTTCTTTTATGGCTAGGGAGGTTGAGCATTTCTTCATGTGTCTATTGGCCATCCTTCTTTCCTCTTCAGAGAAGTTTCTCTTTAAGTCTTTAACCCACTTATTTATTGGGCAGTTGTTTCTTTGAAGATTTGTTTTTGGGGGATTTAATTTTTTAAGTTCCAGGTATATTTTAGATATGAGACCTTTGCCTGTTCATTGCTATCTTTACTTATGAGAAAATACATTCTGCCAACTCAGGTAGCCACATATCTACTTAATACATCTTAATTGTAGTATGAGATTTTATGCTTGAACATATTATCCTATTAGCAGATATAAAGTTACCTCCAATGTTTTGCTCTTTCATATAATGTAGTGAATAGACTTATCAACATACACCTGGGTACATTTACTAAAGTTGCTCTTCATTTGTCGTTAGAGGTGAATTCCTGTTGTGTAATCAATCCTTAATCTCAGTTATTGAGAATTTGATTCCTCCATAAAAGTTGCTAATAGAATTAAGTGCTATAATACTCTAGGATTAATGGGAAAGTGGTTAAAAGAATTGACTTATTTTATTCAATAAATAGTCAAGGACACATGTTGCAACTTTTAGGGTAACAAATATAAGAATAGTAAAAAATAATATTAACATGAAATATGATATGAAAGAAGGAATGGACATAAGCTAAGTGAGTCAAATAGAAAACAATTTTTGTTTGTTTTTTGTATATCTTATTGTTACATGGGTCAACCTGTGTTCTTATGTAAGCATTTTGTTTTATTTTCCTCCCCTCCCTAAATTAGAGAAGTGTATATACAAGATACAGGGCACTAAGATAAAATACAGTAAAAATAGGGGTTATACCATGAGAGAGGAACATACAAAGCAACAAAAAATAAATACGTTAGAAACAATAGCAAGAAAGAAAAAAACATATTTGTGTCCCTATCTTAAGGTTCATTTTGCTTAACATCATCTCATATGGTCATATGTACAGAGCTGTTGGCCTTTTCTGGAAAGCAATGTTAACCATGCAAAAAACTTCAGTTAAAATATAGATATTAAATAGAATTTTCTATAAAAGGCCCTGCATTATAGACTGGAAACTTCTTCAAAGGCCAAAACATGGTACAGATCTATTTCCATGGACATAATGATAGATTTTCCTGTGAGTGAACAATATTTTTTTTTTTTTTGGTTGGTCATGGGGCTTGAACTCCGGGCTTGGGCGCTATCCCTGCGCTCTTCAACTCAAGGCAAGTGCTCTACTGCCTGAGCCACAGCGCCACTTCTGGTTTTCTGGTGGTTAATTGGAGATAAGAGTTTCACAGACTTTTCTTCCCGGGCTGACTTTGAACTGTGATCCTCAGATCTCAGCCTCCTCAATAGCTAGGAATACAGGTGTGAGCCACTGGCACCTGGCATAAACCACATTCTTGGCCACTCTGATTTTTATAATTGACAGGTTCACACTAAATAAGTCCAATTTGTTTCTAATAATATTTACTATGAATAAGATTATCTGATTCCATGAGATAGATGAGACCATCAAATATTTGGACTCAGCCAGGTCAATAAATCCTATAACTGTCATATTTTCCCTTAAGCTTATATATTGATTTTTGTACTTAGCCTCACATATTAAACTAAGTATAACAGATGTATTATTAATTAAATATTTGACTTTGACCTACAAAGATAGTGATCTGGCTTAGTAGAGCACTTTCCAGGACTAAGATGGTATCTGATTATTTTAGCTAATTTTGGTAACAAATTTTGTATCACCTCTTGTAATTGGACTGCAGAAATCATTGTGCTCAGAATTAATGTAAATAATGTGTATTGATCCTCCCAGGAAGGGAGAATTCCAATAGAAGACTTTATTTTAGAGAGAATTCCATGGTCTCCTGAGGTTGTATGATCTACTGGCCGTTTCTCCTTGAACACTAGAACATTTCAATGACAAGTCTTTTTTTTTTTTTTTTTTTACTCCTTCTTCCTTCTTTTCTTTTTTGGTGGTTCTTGAGTTTGAAATCAGAGTCTCATGCTTACAACTTAAGCAATATTCCTAGCAGTTTCTGCTTTGATTACTTTTTTGGTAGACTCTTGTGCTTTGGCCCAGGGCAAGCCTTGAACCAAAATCCTCCTACCTATGCCTCCTATGTAGGTAGCTAAGATTACAGGTGTATACTACCCCATCTGGTTTGTACTCCTATGTGCTTGCATTTATTAGTCCTATTGGTCAAATAAAACTGTCAAAGAGTGAATTGTGAGGTTTATCTGGTCCATTCTCTGATCAGTCTTAGGTTATCAAGTTTCTGCTTCAAAGCTTCACTTTAAAAAATTGCTTTTTGGGGGGCTGGGAAGGTGACTCAGTGGTAAAGCGCTTGCCTTGCATGCCTGAGGTCCTGGGTTCGATTCCTCAGCACCACATCAGCAAAAAGAAAAAAGCCAGAAGTGGCGCTGTGGCTCAAGTGATAGAGTGCTAGCCTTGAGCTGAAGAGCTGAGGGACAGCGCCCAGGCCCAGAGTTCAGGCCCCACGACCAGACCCCCCCAAAAAAATTTTTAATTACTTTTTTGTTACTAAAATGTGTTACACAGAGGGATTACAATTACATAAGTTACGTAGTGAGTACATTTCCTTTAGTTTAGTGTCTTCCTTTCCCTCTCTTCGATTCCCTCCATCCGATCTCCACCCAGGAGTTGTTCACTTTCATCACAGTATTCCGTTAGCTCCACTGCTGGACTTTTTCACCCTTCATTTTTGACAAACAATATGTGTCCTCCAAAAGCAAATCTTTTAAAGAACCAGTGAATCTTACATTCATTGATCTCCCATTAGCTAGCCTGATGAAAACTTCCACTATTTTTCAGAAATGTAAGTCCACAAAACCATCTGTAGGGAACACATGTAGTTCAAAGTGCGCAAAAAAACAAGTATTATGTCAAACAAAAGTATAAGCACCTCCAGAAGTCAGAGTCTCAAGTGATGTTAGTCTGCCTATTGTTTGCAGGGAAGAGAGAAATCAGTTCTTCCTCAACTGCCCAACAAGTTGAACATCTTCAATCTGTCTACATGACTATAAAAATGAAATGAGAAGTGTTCAGAATCTTGTTGGACTTCATGAGTTACCCTTACTGGTAAAGGTTTGAAAATACTATGGTCAGAATGATTGAGTTTGAGGTTCAAACCCTTTAGTCCAATTGTCTTATCACCTATCAGAACCCCAAGAATTGTGTAGATTATGTGCGTGTTTCAACTAACCATTTGTTTGAGAAGTCTCATGTTAGCACGTGAACAAGAGAAGAATAAAAAAAAGGACAAGGAAATAAACAAAAAAAAGTCTCAGGAAGGGATAGGCTTCCAGTATTTGGATAGGGCCAATTTGGGACAAAGTACAAACACAGAACCAATGACTACTGGCTTCTCTTTTCCAGTGAAGGCAGACTATGAGGCACTCTGTTTTCCTTTGTGAATGCTTAGCCATAAGGGAGCTTCATTTGGGGAGAGAGCCAGTGATGCCCCATATTGGAGGAATCCTCTCTTGGCCTCTGTCTTCTAGATCTCTTACTCAGAAAACCTTCTCTCCCCTCTGTGCCCCAGAGCATTTGTCCACTGTGTGTTACATCTCTTTCCCATTACAACTTCTAACTTTTCACAGCAAAAACCTCTCAGAAGTACTTCTTTTTAGTTAAGGGTGTGACTTTTTCTATGGGGTTAATGCAGTGAAATCTCCATAAGGAAACTGAGATTTGATTGTGCCAAGTTTTCAAAACTCCAGAGCAGTTGAGTCCTTAACAAGAGGATGATTGTCAAGATGGTTTCTGGCTTTAGCCTTCATATTTTGCAAAGACATGATGGGGATTTTTTTTTTCTTTAAGTGGAGTGTGTTGTGCGGATTTCAGGTCACCTATTTAAGTGATTTGTCTGTAGGGTGCAATCTTCCTTGCCATGCTGTGACTCTTTGGTTTTTACTTCCTTGGAGGGAAGATTTCTCTTTCTCCAGTTGATTTGCTGAGCAGAAGGAGCTGAGGTATTCTGTTTTCCTTGCTTTGTCGTTCTCCTGAACATCTTTACAGTATTCCAGATTTCGTTTTCTGTGCTACTGGTGAGGACTGCCTACATGCATACATTCCTTTATATCAGCTGTTGTTTTGTTATGCACCTGTTGCTTTGTTTCCAGCCTATAGAGGAGCAAAGTAGAGCTGTTTCCCTACTGTGCTACCTTGAGCTTACACTGGTCTTTTTTCTTTAACTGTCTAATTTTCTTATGGTTTTTTAGCCACCTGTTACAGGCCTTCCCTTTTTCATTTACTTCTTCGTTTTCATGGAATATTTCATTTTTGTCATGTATCTTTCTGAACATTTGGAAAATGCTTATTTTTCAAGTGTTTGTCAGGCTTGTTAGGTTGAAAGCTGTATCTGATGGTAATGGGAACTCTGTGATTTGTTCTTTAATTTTCTCTTCTTTATCTCAACTTAACCCAACATGCATGCTGTGGGTTTGCATTGGATTACATCAGTGTAGGAATTTACTGTATATTTTCATTGACTATTTCTCTTCTGTTTTCCTTTCTCTCTTCCCATGTCCCTCTTTGTAAGTAGCTGTGCTTGAATGGGAACTCCATCTGATAATTGCTAGAGTCCCCCATTTCTCTTAGATCACTCATATTGCCCATCCATTTACAGATCCAGAGGGTGGCTTGGTTCAGTCTCCCTCACAAATGTATATTTAAGAATTCATGTTCTTTTAATCGTCTTTTGCAATAGCTATAAACCCAGTCATCTAGCTAGGCACAACTGTCAGTAGAAAAATCTTCCCACTTCTATTTGGCATGGATTGTCAGTCTTTGTCTAGTTGTTATTACCATATAGGAGTTGGAAAATTCAATAGGTCCGTGATGCTAGTGCTACTCTTAATTTGTTTTTCTTATGATGTTTATGTGGGTTAAGATGTTTATTATGGGGCTGGGAAGGTGGCTCAGTGGTAGAGTGCTTGCCTTGCATGCATGAGGCCCTGGGTTCGATTCCTCAGCACCACATAAGCAGAAAAAAAATTAAAAAGCCGGAAGTGGTGCTGTGGCACAAGTGGTAGATTGCTAGCCTTGAGCTGAAGGACAATGAGGAACAGTGCCCAGAGTTCAGGCCCCACGATAGGACCAAAATAAAAAAGATGTTTATTATGCTTTTTTTTCTGGTCAGCTGCTGGTGGCTCGTGCCTGTAATCATAGCTATTCAGGAATCTGAGATTGTGGATTGTGGTTCAAACCCAGCTCAGGCAGGAAAGTTCATGAGACCCATATCTCCAACTGACCACCAAAAGATGGAAGTAGAACTGTGACTCAAGTATTGGAGCACTATCCTTGAACAAAAGAGCTAAGAAATAATGCTTAGGCCCTTAGTTCAAGCCCTAGGAAACACACACACACACACACACACACACACAAATAAATTCTCTCTATGTTTTTTTTTAGTTTTTTTAATTTAATTTTATTTTATTTGTGAATATACTGTATTACATCATTGAGAGAATTACATCATTGTATGAATTTTCTGTATAGGTTAACTATTTTCTGCAATATTTATTGTAATGCTTAATTAATTTCTTCTCTTTTTTTTTTCAGGAGTTATTTTAATTCCAGGAGGTTCAATTGGCCATTTTCTGGGAGGTTTCATTGTTTCTAAGTTAAAACTGTCTTGTAAAGGCCTGCTGAGATTTGTAATGCTTACTTCTGCTGTATCTGCTGCATGTCTTTCCCTTGTAATTTTTGTACACTGCGATCCAGATAAAGTTGCTGGAATCAATGAAAATTATGACGGGTAAATATGATTTCATACATTATATTCTAAAATCAGAACCCAATAGAATATTTCTCAACCAATGAATAATTATTTATACACTAACTATTATATGTCAGTTTTAAAATTGTAAATCATATATTGGGAATAAAACATATACTTTTGTGTTTAATATTTAAAAATAGTATCATGGGCCAGGCGCTGGTGGCTCATGCCTGTAATCCTAGCTACTCAGGAGGCTGAGATCTGCAGATCACGGTGCAAAGCCAGCCTAGGCAGGAAAATCCGTAAGACTCTTATCTCCAGTAAACCATTAGAAAACTGGAAGTGGTGCTGTGGCTCAAGTGGTAGAGCACTCGCCTTGAGCTGAAGAGCACAGGGACAATGCTCAAACCCAGGGTTCAAGCCCCATGACCAAAAAAAAAATCAAGAGGTATAATCTAAAATGTTTACTATTGTATTTAATTATGCCTTCAGAAAAGCTGTTAAAGGAAATAATTTCAATAAGCATACCCTACGCTTATCATTGATAACTTGCTGTGTATATTCATTCAAAACAGTAATAATACAGTTAAATTTGAGCTCCTTATTTTTTACAGGACAGGTGAGGTAGGAAACCTCACAGCACCTTGCAATGCTCACTGTAGATGCTCAGCCATGGTCTATTTTTCTGTATGTGGAAGAGATGACGTAGAATATTTTTCTCCCTGCTTTGCAGGCTGTAAACGTTCTAAAGTGTTAAACAGAGAAAAGGTAATTCTTCAGTAATATGTTCAACTTGCAAATCATGCTTCTATTTTACTCCTGATTTTCTGTAAAATTCTTCTGTCCTGCTTATCTTGTTTTAAATGTTAAAACAAGGGAAAAAATCTGTTCCATAGAATGGATTGTCAGGTGGGAGTTAAAAATGGAGGAGACACATTTGCATCAAAATATACCTCCAGTTATTATAACAGACTGATTTTATACTTTTGAATTTGTGAGTGACTGTTACTTACCTTCAAGGCATTTTTTTTCTCTCACTTTTGTGGTTTATCTTAGTTCTGTACTAACTATCAATACCACCTGATACCCAAAAGTTTGCAAGATCTTTTCCCACATCTAGGCATTTGGCCACTTCTCACCTTTTGGCCTTTCAGTCTAGTTCCTTCCTACTGAGGAATTCAAAATGCCTACCTGTGCTTCTCATTATTTGTGGTTGGATTTTAATCTGCCTTTTCAATTATTGGAGTTGAGTTTATTTTGCAATTTTATTCTAAAGGCTTTTGTGTTGTTGCTGCTGTTGTAGAGTTGGAACTCAGGGCCTGGGTGCTGTCCCTCAGCTCTTCAGCTCAAGGCTAGTGCTCTACCACTTTGAGCCACAGCACCACTTCTGATTTCCTGGTGATTAAATGGAGATAAGAGTCATGAGCTTCATGCCTGGGCTGGCTTCGAAGCAAGATCCTCAGATTGCAGCCTCCAGAGTAGTTAGGATTACAGGCATGAGCAACCAGTGCCCAGCTATACAACTCTTTAAAGATAACAAGACAGCCAAAACTATTTAAACCTAATTTTTTAACTATCTCTTTCTAAAGCATTTTTTTTACCTTTCTGGTTGTCAGTGTCTACTTCTTCCAGAAAATATTAATTAATAGACGCATTAACTCATAGAAGTCTATTTTTTCTCCTATTTGTCTCATATTTCTTCACCATAGAAGAGATAAATATTCTGCTAGTTCCTTTTTGATACATTTGGACTATTTTCTCTTTACCATCACCAGACAGAATTATTTTTTCTTTTTTGGTTGGTGGTGGAACTTAAACTCAAGGCCTTGGTTCTAGCTCTGGGCTTTTTTTTGCTATTGTGGTTGTTCAAAGCTAGCACTGTATCATTTTGAGATGCAGCTCCCTTTCTGGTTTTCAGGTGGTTCATTGGCAATAAAAGTCTCACAAGCTTTCCTGCCCAGGATGGCATTGAACCATTATCCTCAAATCTCAGCATCCTGAGTAGCTAGGAGTACAAGAGAGAGCCAGAATACCTTTTAAGAACTGATGTTTAGCTGCCTCTAATCCTAGGTATTTAGGAGGCTGAGATCTAAGGATCTCAATACGAAGCGAGTCCAGGCAGGAAAGGCCGAGAGACAATTATCTCCAATGAACTAGCAGAAAACCACAAGATGTGCTATGGCTCAAAGTGACAGAGTACTAGCCTTGAATAAAAGATCTCAAGTATTTAGGTTTTGGGCACTGTCATGCTCCTGAATGCTATGCATGGTGATTGCAGAATTTATCTTGAGGATTTTAAAATATGCTACCTTTACAAATTCTTGATTTATTCTTTCCTCCAAATCTTGACTATTCTCCTCATCCAATATCCTTCCATTCTTCCCAAGGTTTTCTTGTCAGTTCCTACACCCTTCTATGATCTCAACTTCAGTTATTCTACATTTGAACCACACTTTATGTCTTTCAGCTAACTCTCCATTACATAGATCCATGAGTTCTTCAACTCTTCCAGAGCCTAATTTTTGGTGACCTTACTATCTTGTGTTTTCACTCATTCTCTTAGCTTCGATTCTTTCGACTTACAACCAACTACTGTGTTGTATTTATTGGGTCTGACTTCTTGATCCACTTGTTACCCTTTTCTACCTCTTCCGTGTACCAGAAGAGTACATGACAAGATGTGTGCTCCTTTGCCCTCCTTTGACTAACTTAACTTATTAAGGAGTCCTTGGAGAAAATAAAAGCAAGGTGACATCATAGTGTGATTTTCTTAGTTCCTTCCCTGATTGCTGTCCTGAGTTGAAGGCCTCTGTTTATCCCAGGGAGACCCTTTTCAATGTGTCTCTATGTCTTTGGTTATAATTTACACTAGGCTTCTACAGCAAATCCTTTTAAATCGTCTTTCTAAATAATGGTACATATGATCATCTTGATTGTTTTCTCTTATAAAACATTTCTTCCTAGCTCTATTGTATCACACATTGTTTTAATAGTTCCTTGAACATGTGTCTACTTTTACCCTTAATTTCCTAGACTGCTGATCTCTTAGCAACCAAAATGATCTTTAAAATGTATTTCCCCTGGGGCTTGGATGGTGGCTCAGTGGTAGAGCATTTGCCTTGCATGCATGAGGCCCTGGGTTCAATTCTTCAGCACCACATAAGCAACACTGTGGCTCAAGTGGTAGAGCGCTAGCCTTGAGCTGAAGAGCTGAGGGACAGTGCCCAGGCTCAGAGTTCAGGCCCCAAAACTGGACCCCCCCCAAAAAAAATGTATTTCCCCAAGAGCTTCTCATCAATAAGAATGGAGACTAAAGTTCTTATATTCTTTATCAATTACTTAATAACTGTTGTACAGTGTACCTTACTTTTACAATCCTAATTTTATTTTTCTCTGGTCTCCTTGATGTTTTATGGCCCATATTATTCTCTTAGCTCATTTTTAAACTTGTCAAGCAAGTGCTAGTACAATTTTTTACAACAGCTTATCTTCTCTTACTGGTAACATACTTCTAGATAATCATATGACTCATTCCTATACTTTCTTCAAATTTTTCCTTAAATATCACTTCATCATTGAGACAATTTAAGATTATGCTTAGTATACACTTACATCCCCTAATATCACCTGCAATTTTTCTTTGTCCTATTTTCATCCATAATAACCACATGCCCATTATAAATGATTTCCTTTTATTTCTATCTTCCCAAGTAAGATGTTTTCTAAATGACACAGTATATTGCCATTGTGTTTTTCTGTATTTTCGCCCACAACCAGAAGGATATTTATTTAAATTTTATTGTAAAGGTGATGTACAGAGGGGTTACAGTTACATGAGTCAGGTAATGAGTATATTTCCTTTTGAACAGTGTTACCCCACCTCATTTTGCTCAGTTTTTCCCCTCCCAACATCGCTCCCCCCAGTTGTAAAGTTCATTCCAACATAATGTCTAGTGACTATCTCTGCTGAATTGGTTCACCCTTTGTCCCACCATTTCTGTACTTCCTTTTCCCCTCCCCAAATCAGATAAATTTATATACAAGACAGAGTACAAAATTAAAAAAAAAAACAGCAACAGAGGGAATAAATCAAAGAAAAAAAAGAGAAAAAAGAGAACTATGAACAGTACAATAAAAGAAACTTCTTGCTTCAATTACTTGGAGTTCATTTTGATAAGCATTATTTTATATGATCACATGCACATAGCTATTGAGCCCTTGTGATCCTCTCCTATAATCCTCCTGTGTTCTCATTGTGTAAATGTTTAAGCTGTATAGTTAATCATGTCCAGGTATAATTATTTGTCATTTGCTATCCATTGGGTTTACTTGTAGATTTATAGGCACGTTCTAATTATTACAAATAAGGGAAACCATGTGGCCTATGTGTCTTTAGGTCTAGCTTAGTATAATTTTTTCAAGTCTTTCCATTTTCTTATCATTAGGGCAGTGTCATTCTTTCTGATGGAAGCATAGAGTTCTATTGTGTATATGTACATATATCACATTTTCTTGATCCATTCATCCACTGAGAGGCATTTGAATTGATTCCATAATGTGGCTATGGTAAACTCTGGTTTCTCTTCAGATCATATAAATCTCTAGCCTTTTACTAGAAGGATATTTATTTAGTCCATGGGCACTCAAAAATTTTAGTGGAATCAATGAACTTTAATTTGGATATTTTCATATTTCTGTTATTCAACATACCCAGTAATAAGAACTTCCTCAACAATGCTTATGAAATTTTATTTTGTTAATCATTTGGATTCTATTCACCTTTTATCTCTTACTTCTTTATTAGTAGTCTATCTCTATATTCCTGTTCAATTTGTTGCTTTTCTTATTGTTTATTATTTAGGGTAGCTTTGGTAGTTAACAAATTGCTAAATAGTTTCTGGACTTTAATCATTTTTTAGGTCTTAGAAAATTGTCCTGCTTCATTTTTCTTGCAGCATTAACCCTGAAATCACATAATAAAGATTCAGGTTCTAATTATTCTTCTATTCATGTCCATGTTGAGACTTTCACTGACCCTCCCTAAACTTTTTATGTTTGTGTTACCCTTTCTTCACTTAAAAAAGAAATTAAAGGTATTGTTACGTAAATGAACATATCTATGCAAGTTTTATCATTATATATTGTTTTGCTTTATAATATGAATATAATAATATTTAAATTATTATTTATTTTTGAGACTCACTAAAATTAGTGTTGGAGTCTTGGCATCAGTGGAAGAACACCTGCCTAGGAAGTGGAAGGATCCAAGTTCAAACTCCTATACTGCCCCTCCTCAAATTGCTAAAATTACAAACATGTCATATGTTATAATTGAGGGACTATTTGAAGGAATTGAAGAGGGAAGAGAATGTTAAACTATGAACAATACAAAAATATATTGCATGTGATAAATGAAGAATAGTAAAAAGAAACTACTCACTGAAACCTGTTGAATAATGGGAAAAGTGGTGCTGGGGAACTAATGAGAGGTCAACCTGATTACAATGTTATATACCTGCCAATGAAATATACCATAGCAAAACCCTATTTAACAATTAACATACACTGAAAGAAAAATGAGGGACAGGAATAAAAGACATCCATCTGTACTGGATTACTAGTGGAAGCAGAGAGAACAAAGAAGGAGAAATATTGTTGAAATAGTTTATGTACCTGTAAAGTATGTCAGAGACAATTTCTTTTTCTTTTTTTTTTTCCTTTGGTCCATCGTGGGGCTTAAACTCCGGACCTGGGCACTGTCCCTCAGCTCTTCTGCTCAAAGCAAGCACTCTACCATTTGAGCCACAGCGTCACTTCCAGTTTTCTGAGTGGTTTATTGGAGATAAGAGTCTCATGGTCTTTCCTGCCAAGGCTGGCTTTGAACTGTGATCCGCAGATTTTAGTCTCCTAAGTAGCTAGGATTACAGGCGTGAGCCACCGGCACCTGGCGACATTTGTTGATATTGGTTTAGGAAAGATGAAGAAGAATGGGGAGAGAGATGAGTCTGATCAAGGTTCATTAAATGCATATATGAACATGTCTAAATGAAACCTCTTGTCAACTAATTAATGCTAATAAAATATAACTATAAAAAATAACTAATATGAAATTATTTTGCATGGTTCTAAAAGCATTTTGTGACCCAGACACTATATCTGCTGGGTTTAATAATAATCATGACATCATTACATTATAAATCAAAGGTATTATCCTTTCAACTTAGTTCCAATATGTTTCACACTTATATAATTGTATTTTAAATACCAACTAAAATTGTCTGTTATTTTTTACATTAATTGCCCCCAATTTACATACTATGGATCATTATGAAAAAAGTATGAATATTTGAGGATTTTTTAATCAACAGAACTTTACATAATAGCTATTACAGACACACACACACACACACACACACACACACACACACACATCCCTTGGTAAAATAACTTGAGTTTGCCAGGTATTGGTGGCTCAGGCCTGTAATCCTACCTACTCAGGAGATTAAAAGCTGAGGGTTATGCTTCAAAGACTTTCTGATCAGGAAAGGCTGTGAGACTGTTATCTCCAATAAACTACCAGAAAACCAGAAGTGGCGCTGTGTCTCAAGTGGTAGAACACTAGTCTTGAGCGGAAGAGCTGAGGGACAGCCTGTCGCCCAGGCCCAGAGTCCAAGCCCCATGACTGACAATAATAATAATAATAACTTGAGTTTATCATTAATGTTTCACTTCTAAATAATAAACATCAGAGTTAAGTGAGGATATTTTTATTGATACATCAGTCTCCCTACAATTACTGATTAAGTTTTTATTTTTTAATGAAGAGTTTTTGATTCATGACTCTTTCTGACACATTGTTTTCTATCTTGACATTGATAGGCATACTATAATTGCAGTTGCATTAAAAATGGATTGTTAAACTCGGATATAGAAGGTGATTTTATTGATGCCCTGCCTGGAAAATGTGACACCAAGTGTTATAAATTACCATTGTTTTTTGCTTTTATCTTTTCTGCAATTATTTTTTCCTGTTTTTCTTCTATACCACTCAATCTGATAATTTTCCGGTAGGTATACAATATTTACAATTATCATTCACTTAGGACAAAAGGGCAAGTTTTTAGATTATACTATTTTATTGAAAATTTTCTCTATCTTTCATGGTAGCAGATACAAAAGAAAAAGTTAATATTGTCAGAATTTATACTTAATTCTCTTAATTAATTTTTACAAAGTATGTACAAGTTATATTTAGTTTAAGTTAATGTATGGATGTACTAAACCAGCATATAATATTTTCTAAATATGCATAATTTGGGTTTTTATGAATCATTTACAAAATGAATTTAGTTTAAAAAAACTAAATATATTTATTTAGGATATAGAAAATTTATAAGAAGGAAAATTCTTATTTATAGCATATATAAATATAAGGTTCATTTATTTTTTATATCTGTTAACTATTTCTTTTTTTTAATAGAATGTAGATTTTATTTTTTTAGAATGTAGATTTTATTACTTTCTTTTTTTTCTTTTTTTTCCTGTTAACTATTTCTATATTAGCCCATGAGACTCTGAGAAAGCAATGTCATTTACAAATTAACACACTAATTTTTTAAATGTCCATGCTAAATATTATTTTAAACCCAGCCAGCATTTTTTTGTTGTTGGTGGTGGTGGTGATGGATTTGAACTCTGGGCACTGTCCCTCAGCTCTTCAGCTGAAGGCAAGCACTCTACCACTTGAGCCAAAGTGCCATTTCTGGTTTTCTGGTGCTTACTTGGAGATATGTAGTTTCATGTACTTTACTGCTCAGACTGGCTTTGAACCATGATCCTCAGATCTCAGCTTCCTGAGTAGGTAGGATTACAGGCATGAGCCACTGGTGCCCGGCCCAGCCAGCATTTTTCATGAATTCTTCCTGAAGATCTGAAATTCACAGCATTAATTATTTTCTTATCCATAGAACAATTAGTCATTATTTTGAATTTTAATTTTCTCAAGAGGTTAACAAGAAATTTTGAGCTATAAATATCCTGCAGAAAATAGCCAGGTAACAAAGCAGAGGGCAAAACATAGTTTCTACCTAACATGATCTGGTACTACCATATCTTCCTTGTGAAGATAGATGGTTTTTCACAGGCCAACCAGACAAGGGACAATATCTTCATTCACATAAAAATTATGAATGAAAGGAGAGTAAAAAAATGATTAAAATATTTTGATAAGGATTTTTCAGATAGGAACAGCATGATGGGTAAATAGGAGATTTGAGCTAGTTAAGTCCTTGCCCATGTTAATCTTTATTTTACCATGTTAGTATGAATACTGTTACCTGTGTACACATTTGTGAGCCATTGCAAAGAGTAAACTAATGAGAGTTTTTAAATGGTAGATTAGGAACACCTAGCACAAACCATCTGGATCATGGCTCAGGGAGAGACAAGGGACACAAAAAGGCAAGGGAAGGCAATGATAAATATTAAAAAATGAAATTAAAAAATCAAATTAAAACCAGAAATATTAAACTTATATTTCAAAAGGAACAATGTAACATAGAGCTCGGAGCAAAACAGTAGTCCACAAAGGGACTCTCTCAGCAGGGCTACAAACAAGAGAAAAAAAGGCAAACCTCAGGAAGACCCACAGGCACTCACCAGCTGGCACTCTACAAAAATAAATTTTAAGATGGGAAATCTATATCATGTGCAGTAAACAAACTCAGCGAAAGGCCTCCCAGTACTTTCTAATGTGTCTATTAGCACAGAGGAGAGGTTGTACTCAAACTCCTAGCTGGGGAGAAGAGAAGACCCACGCTACGTTTCTACTGGCTAAGCAAGTGAGCCCCCTGAGAATCATTGTAGAACCTGGCAGTGTACCCCAGAGTAAAAGCAACAAGAAACAAAGCACTGAGCTGTATCACAAACTATGAACTCTGGAAAGAAAGCTCAGTTGTTTGTGAATATGAATCAAGTTTCCTAAACAGGGAAGTGTGAGGCTAGGGCTCTCAAGATCAATCAGAGTTTAGGTGCTTTGCCCAGCCAATGCAAGCTGCTTTTATTTGATTGCTTTGTACCCTTTCAGAGGGCCAAAGAAACTATTGTATGGTACTATCCCATGCTAAATCAGCACCAGCAGTAGGCTGTCAGTGATAGGAGAAATCCAACCTGGGAGATCTTTAGTCTTAGTAATGGGTGGCAGTTTGAGGCCATCTCCTGTACTCCCCACATGCTTTTATTCCTCTGGGGAAAGAAAGAAATGAAAAGTCAATAAGTAAAAAAGAAGTAGAAATTTTCATCAATGGATTAGATTGTGTAGAAAGAAAAGAATATCATTGGAGACAAGATCCCAGAAATACTAATTTTAAACAACCATTAAAAAAAATAAATATAAATCCTAAAGACACATGCACATCTATGTCAATTACTACATTCCTCATTATTAAGGAAGATTATTGCTAATTTATTTTAGCTTTTGAGTAGAGAATATAATAACCAAAGGTACACAAGGAAAGGATGCATGAATGCATGAAAATTGAGACCAAGTAAGCAAAGTTGAATAAAATGACTATTTCAGATATGGGCAGGATGCAAGGAATGCCAAAGTGCAATGCAGCCAATCTGGTATGAAAATTGAGAGCTTATATCAGCAGAGAAAGGAGGCTGGGATAGAAGATTTGGCTCACAAAATCCTCTCTTTAAGCCAAGTGCTAGTGGCTTATGCCTGTAATCCCAGCTACTCTGAGATCTGAGGATTTCAATTTAAAGTCAGCCTGAGAAGCAAAGTCTGTGAGACACTCTTATCTCCAATTAAACACACACACACACACATACACACACACACACACACACACACACACACACA